ATTGTTGGGCATCTTCTCAGCTAACATATATTCTAGTGGCATCGTTGCTTGTGAGCAAGTACTCTTGTTACATGCTGTATACAGCTATCAGATTTTTTTCTTGCTCCCTCTTTTATCATGTTCAACTTGAAAGGTCTTTAAAACACCAGAAAAATGAAATCTGAAATACCTGTTTTTACAGTGGAAGACTGTTACAGAGAAGCTTTGACCTCCCTTATCCATACATCCATTTTTAGCTTGTGTTTTGTGTCTGAATTCTTGTTTAGAGAATGTGTAATCCTACTGGCATTCACAGCAGTGCAAGATTTATCCAGTTGAAGCTGTCTTGTATGTCACTGGGATGATGAACATGTTAACACCATGAAGGGAGGGGTGTTTTTACTTTTCTGTGTTAGTCTGTTGCTAATCACTCGACAACCTAGTCAATATATTTTAAAGGAACAGGATGAACATTCCTCAGCTCTTTGTTTCAGGCTGAAATGTACTAGTTTATTCAGGGAGTTACCTAGAGTGCAAATACGGGCTGAAGAATAGGAAGCAGTTGCTAGGAATCAGCAACAGTTTAGAACTGTGATAGCTTTCATTGATTTAGTTTCCCTATTTTGTAAAAAGAGAACAGGTATAATGGTATAGTGAAAAAATGGGGTTGCTTAATTCCTTAAGGTCCGTCTCTAATGAAGAAGAAGAGCAATTTTTTCTTTTTATAAAAAAAAAAAATGTGTGCTATGTTGAAATAATGCCATGTCAATAATTCTTTTTATATTTGGGATTTTCCCAGTATAAGCAGATTCTCCTTTCCTCCCTCATTGAGTAATTTGACAGGTGATGCTTTTATTGGCAAACTACTTTTCAAATCCTTGAGCTATATTCGGTAGTGATTCAAAGTTAGTCTGTCAGCAGATAAAAGCTTTGGCAGGTGAAGGGGAGTTTGTAGGCACCTGTCTGCCTATACAATTTTATTCTTCGGGTATGGTGTGGGGGAAATAATTTTCCAAATAATTTTCAGCTATGTGGGTTTGCAGTGTTTCTTACTCAATACAGGTAATTAAGGTAGAATACACAGATTGGCGTAGAATGTGTTGATCTCCGTGCTTCTGGCTCTTTTTGAACAGAGGATACTCATCCAAAACCTTTCTCAAGAGTTACTTTCTGATTTGTGCAGTTGATATTTATTTCTTGATATCTGTTGTTCAGGTGGCAAGATGCACTACTAGAATTATGTGTAGCTGAGACTCCAAGCACAAAAAGCTTTAGTACTAACCTAGAAGATAGGTATGCAGATGCAGCAGGAAGTGGGGTTTTGTCTCCTAATGGAGAGATGCTTTTATGATAAGTGCATGTGAGCACACACCAAAGGTGTTGCAGGTGGTTTATTTTGAAATCGGGAACTAAATTTTTCAGTAAGGCAAGAGGCAGGAGGGAAGACCTTTGAAGAAGACTTCATTTATTTTTCCCACTGCTTTTTTTTCCCCCTCATTTTGATTTGTAATCTTTACTATATTTTCTTAGGTATAAATGGAAACTGTAGTATTGTGGTTCTTAAAAACCTTATTCAAATATTTGAAGAGCTGCTGCTAAGCCACATTCACATGCTTACTGCCAGGCAAACAAATGTAAAGTAACAGAAGCCAGCATAGCCTTTTGCTCCCTGCTGATTGAAGCCAGTAAGTCTTTTGTGGTTCAGCCATGGCCTGCTGCTATTGCGTTAATGCTACTAGACTGGTCACTTTTTTGAATGTACACTTCTACTGTTTGCTGTGTCTTTAAATCTTTACAGGCATTTTAGGTTATTTTGAGTGTTAATTTCCAACTGGGTGGCTTCACCAAGGTATAACCAACCTCTATTGCCTTCTTTAAGGATTTTGAGTTTCAGTCAAGGTTGTTCACCATAAATTGTCTGAGACTATTGGCCCAACACTCAGAACTTGAATTTTTGTCCCACTATAGTGCTCCAGGCTGGTGCCTCCTTTTCATCTCTACCCTCAGGTGTCAGGACCTTGCAGTTCTGGTAGAGGTAACAGTTTAATGAGATGAGTTCTGCAGTGTTACTGTCTCTGTACTGTAATGCTGCCATATCACTTACAGTAAGTCTGAAGTTTTGGGGTTGTACTTTTCAGAGCAATGCTCCTCTCTGCCTCCCATCCAAAAAAAAAAAACAACCCCAAAACAATGGAGCTAACATCCCATACTGAGGAAGTATTTCATGCAGTCACAGGGGAAGTGAAAATAATGTCAGCTGTCAAATCTTATGACAGCTATGTGATTCTGTTAGAAATTTAAAACAGCTCTGGTCATGGGACCACCTGTTGTTTATTTGTGTTAATGGCAACTCCTGGAATACAAGAATAAACTGATAAAAAGTTTTTCTAACACTGCAGATATTTCTGACACTGTGCCAGTTACTGGAGAACTTGAAAGTTCACAGTTGTTTCTGAGGAGCTGTGAATACTCATTTCTGTCTGTAGTGCCTCAGCTCTGAGGGCCTGCAGTAGGTCTGTGGACATCACTAGAAACATCCCTTTTCACTGTGAATGGTTGCATCCAAAACCTGGTGGAAGGACCAGTGCTTCCATCTAATGAGCACTGCTCTTTTGTCTTTCTTTAATAAACAAACCAAAGATATCTCCTGAAGTCTTATGATAATGCTGTTTTGTTTCTGTGCTTATGCCTGGCTATTTTATTTTCCTTTCATGTTAGGCACAGTACACAGCACACCTTTCCTGACATGAAAATCACATGAACAAAATCCCAGTAGGACTTTTTCCAGAGCCGTCCTGTGCAGTAGCCATTCCCTCTATGCTGAGTGCCAAAAGGCTCTAGGAGAAGTGCACAATTTGAGTCCCTTTGATTCAGACAGATGTGTTTAAAACCTCTGAAGCCCCATATTGATGGGAGGGAGACTGGGAGTATGCCTTTTTATTATTACTTTTTAACGGTCCTACTTGTGTTTTATTAGTACTGCTGGGAACATCACCTTAAGCTGTGAGATGGTGTGGTCGCTATGCAAAGTATGAAGTGGCCCATATATCAAAGTACTGAACTGTGACAGTCAGCAGCAAGTGGGGTGCAGTATCCTAAAAGATGTAGGTGAAGTGTTTGCTGAAGTTCAGAAGAGCTTCCTCCTTTACTTTGGTTTTGTCAGGAGTGCAGTAGAATGAATTTGCTGATTCTCCCGAAACACTTTCTTATATAGCTTGTATGAGAGAAAGCTGCCTTGGAAATGTCATGAATTCTTTTAATTAGCTGACAAACTCAGTCTCTTAAGTCTCTTTTATCAATTACCACTCTATGTGGTAATTGATTAAAAAGGGGGGGAATCGTCTTTATTTACTTCTTGACTACTCTCTGTTCATCTTTTCATCAGGGTAAAATACTGTGTTTTGTTTTGTGCAGGAGTAATTTCCTAGTGCCGGGAGAATGCATATTTTAAGGCTTTTCTGTGGTTTCTCTTCATGCCCATAGGGAGCACAGATATTTTGTAGTTCCTAATCAAAAATAGTTGTCGGGAGGACACCTAGTGGACAGTCGCTGGGTAGGTGTGGGGAGGGTCGCTGTGACAATCTGCAGGTACTGGGGAGGAGGAAACAAAACACGATGTTCCTGTGGGTGTCTTGTTAGGAGAATCTTCCCTCCTTAAGGCGAGATCCATGTGTTAAGTCGTTTAGAAAGACCGCGACTTCCCAGACTCATCTTTTGTAGAGAAGCGGGTGACATCCTAGCTTCTGTGAGCTGCTAAACACATCACAGCTACAGATCACTGCTGCCCAAAGCCAGCAAGAGTGTTTTTATTCTTGAATCACTTAGTCACTTTCACAATGTGACCACTTTAGTTACTAAAAATTATGATTTTCAGATAACAACAGGATATTTAGTATTTTGTCTGACTGCAGCTGAGCATGTTTGCTTGTCAAGGTTCAACCACCACATAAAGATGGTGTTCATATTGAGACTGACAGTTTAGTCAGGGAGCTCTGGAAGTGGCACAGAAAGGTAGGAATGGTGGGGAGATAAGAGGTCACTTAAACTTTTTGTCTCTACAGGGGCTGGATTATGGTTTGCCTTTGAGGCTGAATGGGGTGATAAAAGCAGATAAGCAAAGAAAGGGGCATTCAAAGAACTGTATACAATTTTACCTGCAGTTTCTTTGTGTTGTACTAAGGAATTTCCATCCCCGAATACCCTGCTTGCTTTGCTCAGCTGTTCCAATCCTCTCTGCTCTCCTCTTTTAGTGTATACTTCCCCTCTCATCCATTTGTGTAGTCCCCTCATAGCCTTTCTGTTTCTTACTGTCTTCTTCCCTCCCTAGTATGGAAAGAATATCACCTCTGCTACTTTGTATTTTCTTGTGTCTATCCTCATAGTCCTTATCTTTTGTTTTTGTTTGTTGCAAGTTCTTGAAGGTCTTCTATTTGTCCAGCCAGCGCCTTGTATGGTGAAGCCATCCATGTTCTTTGATCTTTAAATGTTCCTGTAATACAATATATAGTAGGAGTTTTGTCTATCTTGCATCTGTATTCATCAGTGAAAGTTTGCTACTCCAATTTCTTTGCCAGTCAAAGTCATGGTTTGCTCCAGAGTGCTTACTGTTTCTCACTTAGAAATTTTTGTTGAGCTCTGAATGTGAACACTGTGTATAGTAGCTATAAAGTTAAAAACAAACAAAACCCCAAGGAGTGAGAAGGAAGGCAGGGGGAAGGAAAATGTTCAGCTGTTTTTATGAGGCTTGATTTCAATTAAAAATCAAAACCAACACAACCGAAGTAGCCTCATTTAAAGAGCTGCCTTGCTGCCTGCTGATTTTATTAGTTATGTAGTGACTGGTATGCTTTTTCAGCTTTGCTGCTTAGTGACTTGCATAGGAAGACTGGAGCTGGCCCTGCCAACAGTTACAGATGGCTGGAAAAAGAAACATGCATTCTGAATTTAATATAACCAGTTTCAGTCTGTCTTTACTCATTCTAAGTTTTAGTAATAAATTAATATCTCTCTTTATTTTGTAGTTTTGCCAATTTGAGAATTCACCCTCATGGATTAGTGTTGGTGGATCTGCAGAGCTACAGTGATTATACAAAAGGAAGAGAAGAAGTTGATCAGGTACGAGTGATGCTTATCTTACTAGGTTTCTCAGACTGCATGGGGAGCCCCTTGTCTTCAGGTTTGTCAAAGTATGTTTTGGTAGAAGATTTTTAAATATCAGGGTTAGTTCAAACCTAGTGCTTACAGATGAGTACAGAATCATAGTTTTGGTTGGGAGTGACCTTCAGAAGTCATCTAGTCCAACCCCTCTGCAGTGAGCAGGGACATCTTTAACTAGATCAGATTGCCCAGAACCACATCCAGCCTGGCCCGGTGGAGCATCCATCACATCTCTAGGCAACATGTCCCAGTATTTTACCACCCTCATTGTAAAGAATTTCATCCTCACTACCCCTTTTGTAGTTGCATACACACATGAATGCACACATTCTATTTTGCATGTCCCAGGCCTTGTGTTGTTTGCTGTAAGAGTTGTAAAGACATAACCAGCCTTGGCTAGGGCTCAGGTCTCTTTGAGTACCCAGGGTAGTGCAGCAGAGGTGATCCTCAATCTGTAACCTGGTGAAATGGAATTATTTTTTTTTTTCTCTCTAATCTGACAGATTGGGAGCCTCTATACAGTAACTTCTTCCCCATGCAGAAAAATGATTTCATCTTCCCTGATATGAAGGCTCCAGAAATTGGACATTGCAAGGGAATAGGCCACTGCTTTGACAGGAATGTAATTTACAGGGTTCTCATGTTCCTTGTTTGGCTGTGCCTGAAAGATCTGGCTATGTTATCCTGGACAGAAACTAATAGCAGTGATGACAGCTGCTACAGTATGCACATTCTTGCTAGTAACAAGGCTAAGGTGACCAGCTAGTTATTCATAGGCTTCTACTGTTGCATTTGAAAGTTTCAGTATAGGTGCTCCTATTTATTGCCTTCCAAGTAGCCTAATTTAACAGATACTTTATATCAAATGATTGCCTATAATTTCCACCTTTTGTTTGGTATTTTTTTTCAGCTTCTAAACAAAGTAGAAGAGAGAATGAAAGAATTGTTTCATGGTAACATAAAAAGGGTGAAACGGTAAGTTCAGACATCTACTTCTGTATGTGGCTTGTCTGCATAGTTGCTAAAGATAATCAAATTACGCTTTCTTGTACTGCGATGAATAGCCTGGATTATGTATTCATGCATATGCGGTTTTCCCCCCAATACTTTAAAATTGTTTTATTGAAGAATTGAAGATCATGTGAGGTTTTTCATATTGGTAAGCTTCATCTTCAGTATTGTTGCTTTAGGCAAGGAGTATTTCTTTAATTTGCTGCAGTGGTTGCATGAAGTGGTGGGAGAAAATGGAATCTGGAAGTGAGTGCAGACTACTCTGGAAGTCCTGGAGAGCAGCAAGGGTGTCAGGGGGATAGGCCAGGGCATGAACCATACCTGTTAGGCCACATCCCATAGCTTGTGGACAAGGTGAGCAGGGCTGGTGATGGTGACCAGGGTCAGCCTCAGCCCTGTGACTGCCAGGCTGGGCTGTAGTATTGAGGCACCTCTGAGACTGAGGTAGTGGGTGTCAAGGACTGGTGAAATACTTGGGCAGGTATGGACAGAGCTGCACTGTAGCTTGGGCAGGGACCAGGAGTGAGGGCAGGAGCTAAAACAAAGCTCAAACGTATGGAGAAGGCCCTTCCCTGTTAAGGTTTCCCACAGCTCTTTCCCTGAAAAGCTCTGTCCCTGCTGTGGCTTTTGGTGCTGGCCCTGGGCACTTGTGGCAAAAATGCCAGCGGAACCTCTGTGCTTCAGGGCCCTGCCAAGAAGATAGAAATATTTTAACTAAAGGAGGGAGGCTTTTGCAAGCCTTCTGTCATTTTGGTTGACTTTGAATACAAGGTTATACATTGAACTGTACGGGTGCTTATTGTGATTTGTTGCCTGCTGCTGAAACAGCATTCATTCATGCTGGAGTTTCCCAGGTATCTGGAAGAACACAGTTCATGTTGGTGTCTTCCCGATGAGTGGCAGTGACTGGCAACTCAAAGCCAAAGAGCACTTACTGAAGGCATGCGCTCGCTGGAAAGGTGTAGGAGGTGCTTTAAAGAACACAGAAGTGGAAGTACTTTAAGAAAAGTAAAAAGCAGTGTAAAATCAACATATTCTATAAAGCAAAGGAGCAAACTACGGAATGGGAAAACTGCAAAGCAGTACTACAGTAGAAAGTTATCTAAAGGTTGTACAAGACCACAAGTGAAGTGGTAGTGATTTGAAAAGTAATTACACACAGAAAACATTCAAGGTGTAATATAGGTGTGTGTAAAAGAAAGGTAGTTGTCTTGCTTTTTTTGTACTGGTAAATCCTCACCTGGCGCACAGTCTGCAAATATATGTGTATATTGGGGAGAAGCACACTCTCTGAGAGCATTTCAATACTGAAATACGATATTGAGAGTTTGTGGAATCCCTATGATAGAAACTTGTTAAAAATGGATCAGGAAAAAGGTCTGCCTGAAGTGATCTATATAAATTTGGTTACCTTGGTATAGGAAGATGAACCTCCTGCAGCAACGGATCTGGTATGGATCTTGTCACACACCCGTCAAAGTAAATGTCTTTGCATCCTTCTCATGTTAGCTTCACACATGCAGCTGCCCTAGGATTAATACTGCTGGGGAAGTTGTTCCTGCCTTTTAACTGTTTTGATGTAGTGAATAGATGGTCTTGTTCTCACCATGTGCTGCCATCTGGCGGCTCAGTGAGGGTAAAAGATATTTCTGGAATGCTCACTGAGAATCACTGGTGAATTTAAAACCGTCTTGTCTGTCTGGTCTTCTGCTATACCCTCCTGGGTGGGGAAAGAAGGTTTTTAACTTTGAAGTGTGTGAGGAAATCTCTGCACGTTTTGCTTGAAATGGAATGCGATCATTTTGATCAATCACTGCCACTTAAAATATAGTTTGTCCTTACAGGTGAAGTAGTGATTTGGAAAAAGATACCTCTATATAGAATTTAAAACAATCTATGCAGGTTCTTGAACTGCTTTTTAAAAGTAACACAAACTGTCAGCTGATACCAGGGTTTGTGCTTACAAACTGCAGGGTGGCCTGGCTCAGTTTGAAACACTGTAGTAGTTCACTTTTTGTGTTTGTGTATGTATTTAATATGTATCTCAGTACAACTTTTGAAGGGTGAGGTCCACTATCCCAAAGAAATGGTGTTCCTAGCTGAGCTGAAGATGGGAAGAGATTTTGTCATGTTTTTTGGTCTGAAGTCTGCTTTTGTATTTTTCGATTTCTAGCCATGTTTTGTAAATATCCTCTCTTAAGGGTAGAGAGGTTCATGTACATATTATAGAAGTTGTACATGAAGAAGAACCATGTAATATTTCATCAGTGCCTTAACAAGTTATGTATATATAACATGGCTGGTAGGCTTATCTGTTGAGTGTTAAATATTGCAAGTTTTCTTAGATCCCTCTTTTAAGTATTTATTATGGTGAATCCACAGTATGTTTAGAGGTTGTTTTTTTTAATAAACATTCTCAAATGTTTTGTAACACTTTTTCTTATTTCTGTCTAGATTGCCAGCCATTTTGAGGGGAGGTGTCATCGACAGATACTGGCCCACAGCTGATGGGCGCCTGGTGGAGTACGACATAGATGAAGTTGTTTATGATGAAGATTCACCTTTTCAAAATATTAAAATCCTGCATTCAAAACAGTTTGGGAATATTCTTATCCTCAGTGGGGATGTCAGTATGTATCATCTCATTTCAGGATCTTCTGTGTGAAAATGTAGCAAGCGTTGTTTTCTATCTCGCAATGGGACAGTTTTAGTAGATTACTAGCAGTCATGGTTCTGATGCTGGAAGCTACATTCATACAATCATAGAATAGTTAGGGTTGGAAAGGACCTTAAGATCACCCCTGCCATGGGCAGGGACGCATGCATGTACCCTCATATATGTTCCACTATATAAAGTAAAATGTTTCTCTGTATACAGCATTTTAATTAGAAAATCTGAGCAATGTAAAATCTAGAATACAAAAAAAATTTCCGAAGTTGTTATGGGTGTAGAAGTCAGTGTTGTCTGGGAGAGCTTACTCTACTCCATGCATTTCAGCTTTTACTTGTTTGTTGCACGTCCAACCTCTTGAGGGCTTCTCCTTGACAGTAAAATAAGCTACTTTGTCAGCCTTCAAAATACTGTGGAATTCTAAAGAAATAGAAGTAGGAGCTGGGAGGCAGGTGTCTGTATAAAACTGCTGTTCCCTTGGCTCTCTAGAGGAATTATTTGCTTGGTGAGGCACAGGACAGCTGTATCTTAAACCATTTAGCTGCTTTGTAGGTGAACATCATCTGACTTTGTCTCCTTCAAAATGCTCAGTTGAACTCTTAAGTTAATGAGAAGAATAACCCAACCTTATGAGATTGTCTGTATATGTGGCAGTCTGTGTCTGCCCGGCTTTGTAAGTTTGAAAGTGAACTTGGGAGAAGCTGCTGTTCTTTCAAACTAGGTAAGAATGCAGCTTGTTAGAAAATCTAGACATCAAGGAGGGGTATGCTTTGTGAAATCTCTCAGGACTTACATTGAAAAGTGCTGACTGATGTAAATGAGGCATGTTGCCGTCTAGGGATAGAATACCTACTTGCAGTCTAATGGCAGAGTAATTAAGAAATTTGACTATAGCTTTTCAAAATCACCAGACATACCTCTAACTGTTCATTTAACTTTCTGCAACTCTCAGGGGTTTCTGTGCAGATGGCAGTTGAAAAGTATTACTGAATTTCATTAGCAAGGTGTTTTCTGATTCAGTTAGAATTGTATTTGAAATCGCCAAACTAGGCATTCCATACTTCTAGCCAGAAACTTTTATCAGTTTCATATGGAGATGAGGTTTTGGAAACTATCGGGAGAACTGGCTACACCGGCTTTGGAGAAGGCTGAGGTTCTGAATGACTTCTTTGCCTCGGTCTTCACTGGCAAAGGCTCTGACCGCACCACCCAAGTCTTGGAAGGCAGATGCAGGGACTGTGAGAATGAACACCTTCGGCCCACTGTGGGAGAATATCTGGTTTGAGACCATCTTAAAACCTGAATGTACGCAAGTCCATGGGACCTGATGAAATCCATCTGTGGGTCCTGAAGGAGCTGGTGAATTAAGTTGCTAAGCCACTGGCCTTCATATTTGAAAAATCATGGCAGTCAGGTGAAGTTCCCAATGACTGGAAAAGGGGAAATATAACCCCCATTTTCAAGAAGGGGAAAATGGATGACCCAGGGAATTACAGACCAGTCAGTCTCACCTCTGTGCCTGGCAAGATCTTGGAGCAGATTCTCCTGGAAGGCATGCTAAGGCACATGAAAAACAACAAGGTGCTTGGTGACAGCCAGCATGGCTTCACTAAGGGGAAATCCTGCCTGACCAATTTGGTGGCCTTCTTTGATGGGGCTACAGAACTGATGGACACGGGTAGAGCAGTTGATGTCATCTACCTGGACCTGTGCAAAGCGTTCGACACTGTCCCACAGAGCATCCTTGTCTCTAAATTGGAGAGACATCAATTTGATAGGTGGACTACTCAGTGGATAAAGAACTCGCTGGATGGCCACACGCAAAGAATTGTGGTCAATGGCTCAATGTCAGGCTGGAGACCAGTAACGAGTGGCGTCCCTCAGGGATCGGTGTTGGGACCGGTCTTGTTTAACATCTTTGTCGCTGACATGGACAGTGGGATTGAGTGCGCCCTCAGCAAGTTTGCCGATGACACCAAGGTGTGTGGTTCGGTTGATAAGCTGGAGGGAAGGAATGCCATCCAGAGGGACCTCCTCACGCTTGTGAGGTGGGCTGATGTCAGCCTCATGAAGTTTAACCATGACAAGTGCAAGGTCCTGCACCTGGGTCGGAGCAATCCCAGGCACAGGCACAGGTTGGGCAGAGAAGAGGTTCAGAGCAGCCCTCCAGAGAAGGACTTGGGGGTGTTGGTTGATGAGAAAATGAACATGAGCCGGCTTCAGCGTGCGCTTGCAGCCCAGAAAGCCAACTGTATCCTGGGCCACATCAAAAGGAGCGTGACCAGCAGGTCAAAGGAGGTGATCCTGCCCCTCTACTCTGCTCTCATGAGACCTCACTTGGAGAATTGTGTGCAGTTCTGGTGTCCTCAACATAAAAAGGACATGGAACTGTTGGAACAAGTCCAGAGGAGGGCCAGGAGGATGATCAGGGCACTGGAGCACCTCCCGTATGAAGACAGGCTGAGGAAGTTGGGGCTGTTGAGCCTGGAGAAGAGAAGGCTGCGTGGAGACCTCATAGCAGCCTTCCAGTATCTGTAGGGGGCCTATAGGGATGCTGGGGAGGGACTCTTCATTAGGGACTGTAGTGATAGGACAAGGGGTAACAGGTTCAAACTTAAACAGGGGAAGTTTAGATTGGATATAAGGAGGAAATTCTTTCCTGTCATGGTGGTGAGGCACTGGAATGGGTTGCCCAGGGAAGTTGTGAATGCTCCATCCCTGGTAGTGTTCAAGGCCAGGTTGGACGAAGCCTTGGGTGGTGTGGTTTAGTGGGAGGTGTGCCTGCGCATGGCAGGGGGATTGGAACTTGATGATCTTAAGGTTCTTTCCAACCCTAACTATTCTGTGATTCTATTAATGTTGTCACAGTACTCCTTACAGAAAAGGAAGTATGCCATTATTTATTTACCTTCCATCGGATTTTAAAATGCTGCTTTGTGTCATTTTGTTATTGTACACTTACAAGCAAGTGCTGATTGCCAGCCAGAATGATAGAGTATTCCATGATGTGCTGCTGCACAAAGCTTTGCCCTTGTAGCTCAGATGTGTTATTACAGCTTTGGAACATTATTGCCTGCTTTGGAGCTAATAAAGAGTAAGCCAGCTAGAAAGCTGGCTTCAGGGCTTTTCAGCAGTTATGTGTTAAGTCATACTTCTGTGTAGGGGTCTACTGGGGTGCATCTAGGTTGCTCTTTTTAGTTGGCATCCAGAGTGTACTTTCAAAAATCTCGTGATTTGTTTCTTGCAGCACTAGTCCTAGGTAAAAACTCACTGAAGTATCAAGTGTGGATTAATGTCTGAAATGCTGACAGTTTTGCTCTACAGCTTTTTCTCTTGCCACTCAATACTTCCTAATGTGAAGGGGCTCTTGTTGGGTTTGTCCTAATATTAATGCTGTGTGGGATTTTGAGGAGGATCTTACTAGCTTTGCTAAATCACCAACCTCTCTTACCTCAACTGTCTCTGGGAGCTAGGTTGTTTCTGTAGGTGCTCTTATTTTGGTCTTTATTGTACTAATTATTGGGAATTAAAGATGTAATGTTTCTGTCCAACTCTTCCTTTCATCCAGATCTGGCTGAGAGTGACCTGGCATACACTCAAGCCATAATGGGCAGCGGAAAGGAAGACTACACTGGGAAAGAAGTGCTAATCCTAGGAGGTGGTGATGGAGGTATATTATATGAGATAGTCAAACTGAAGCCAAAGATGGTTACTATGGTAGAGATATCCTTTGACAAATGACTGATCGCTGTTTTCAACATTTTCAGCCTGCATTTTCTGCTGATGCCCTAGCATTGAGCACAGTTAACTGTCAGGTTCTGATTTTCATGAGGAGATAGGATTTAAAATGAAATTTCTTCTTGTCAGCTTAGAGAGGCCCAGCAACTACATATTTGTACATCATTATGTAACCCATTCTTTCAGGTTCTCAATCCATACTGTAACTCTTGGCATAGCAATTTACATAGAACTGGAAAGGAGCATTTATGTCATCAGACTGATATTTTTTCTGATAACAGAAGACAGGTCTGTCAAGTCTGTTTTTTCGACTGAATTCTGCTTTCTTGGGTTCTTCTGTTTTTCTAAAGAATGCTATAAAAAAAATTAACCTAGAAGAAAAAAAGTAATGTCAGGACTCGGTGAACTGTGTTGGTGGCAGAATGACCTACTCTTGCCCTGTCTTAAACATATTGATACGAATCAGGTATTCAACATTCTGTAGTTCAAATAGTTTGTAATATAAACCACTGTTAGCCATATGATCACCCTAGGTTTTGGGATCCCCTTGTTAGAAACTAAAAAGAATTGGTTTGCAAATATAGGTTAAAGTCTTAACTTAGTTTAGCTTTATGGGTTTTTTAAATACACCATCCTGTTGTTCACATTTCAAGCTTTCACAGTAATGGTAGCCTAAAGCATCAGAAATAGTGGTTAAAAACAAAAAATAAGCATTCCTAAGCCTGTAACTGAATCTGGAGGTGAATACATAAGGTTGGCTCTTCCAATATGTATACCAGGATACATATCTTACTCTTATTCCTTTGAATGTCATCTTTTTTGAGAATTTATTTCCAAAGAAGTAGAAACTGCTACCTGTATTATTTCTGGAATGTAGAATGCCTTAACCAACTTCAAACATTGACCAAATGGTGATCGACGGGTGTAAAAAATACATGCGTAAAACATGTGGAGATGTCTTAGACAATCTGAATGGAGAGTGCTATCAGGTAATGTTTTTGTTTTCCTTCATTAGAAGTGATGCTTAAAATACAGTTGCATCTAGCCTTGAAGACTGCTATGGTAAAGTTTTGGGGAAAAGTTTTCTGATTTTTCTTAATTCTGGGAAGGATTTCCTCCTTTGGAAATAAGTACTGTTGTCAAAATATTGTAACTCTATTTTCAAACTCTTTTAAAAATAATTATATATAGCTTTTAAGGAATTTGAAATGGGAGCCTGTTTATTGCTGTGCTTACAAATAAAGAGGAAGTAACAGTAAGGATGCAGTGTTAAACATCATTCCTTAAACTGATGAAAAGATAGAAAAATGCATGTGTAAGTTAGTTATCCTGTGCTCTTGAGAATATCTGAATTTGTATGTAAGTGCTTTATCTGACAGACACTACAAACTAGTCTGAGTGTAACCTGAGATCTTCACAGGAAATCTTTTTTTTTTTTTCATTACTGCTCTCATACTTATTTACAGATGTGAGCTAAGAAAAGGCACGCAGCAGATTAACAGAGAAGTAACATGGTACTACACATGTGGCCCTTCATACAAATACCTTATTTTATGTCAGGGGACTGCTAATTGTTGTTACCATTTGGTAAACAGAACAGCGGTCACCCAGCGATCAGTGACAGAGCTAGGAAAATCAGTCCTTTATTGCCAATGTTGTCATTGTTGTAATTCCTGCAACTGCGATTCCTTTTTATATCAGAAGTTGAAAATTGTGCCTAAAATTAAATGCATTATTTAACTATGTACTTTTGCCTTCCTCTTAATTCCTGTGACTCCACATTTGTTCCTTTTAACTTGGCAGTTTTAGAGTATTTTGAGGACCACAGTATTTCATTCTTACAGGTTCTGATTGAAGACTGTATTCCCGTATTGAAGAGGTATGCCAAAGAAGGAAGGATGTTTGATTATGTAATTAATGATCTGACAGCTGTTCCAATCTCCACATCTCCAGAAGAAGGTTAATCTTCTAATTTATTTTCTTAAACTCTGAGGCTTTTCCATGTTTCTGGCCTTCTGCTGTGTCATAGTTGGCAGCTTGCAGCAAAAACGCTTGATTCTTGCCTTTTTTAATAGCAAATCTGAGAGGCAAAGAATGATAGTAACACATCTCTTCTTCATGACTTTTTCTTGAATGTTAAGAAAAAACTAGCAAGTGACTAGGTCTTTTTTAAACTTATATATGAACTCATGTAACTCTTGAAGAAGTATTTGGGAAGTTCATGCTCCAGTAAATTTGGAAGCATCTGGAAAATTACTGTTAAGAAAAACATATACTTCTACCATCATTGTTGTTGTGTGGGGGTTTTAACTGTTCTTTTTCTTGTTGGTTTAAGTTTGGTTTGGTTTTTAAGGTATAGGATAGCTACTTTTTAAACAGTAGATACATTGTGAGTCTTGAATATGTAATAGGGAACAAGTCCATAATGTTCTGTTCTGTTTTAAATCATACTCTCTTGCAGATTCCACGTGGGAATTTCTGCGGTTGATTCTTGACCTCTCAATGAAGGTCCTGAAACAAGATGGAAAATACTTCACACAGGTATGAACCTGGATGTAATAGATACACAGCAATATCTTTTTACAATCTGTATGTTTCAGGTGTGTGTATATATATTAAAAAAAAAAGCTACTAGCTGGCTTTCTACTTTTAACTGTTCATTGGGCTTTGTCTGACTGACTCGTCTTTTTTCATCATTTCAGCTGAATTTGCAGTGCTTATGTCTTTGAATTGAAAAGCATAATTTCAAGAATCAGCTGGGCATACTACAGAATATTTTAGCTGTAAGCAGTTCTTGGAAAAGGAGAACAGATGTACTTTATGAACAGCTACAAGGATTTTAGGCAATCATTTCTGGTTGTAGAGTGTAAGACATGAAAATTTGTCATCCATAAAGGTGTAAGAATTTGAAATAGGTGCAATGGGATGAGAAAATTAGTCATTTGGGAGTAAGTACTCTCTTTTTTTTTTTTGTGCTGAAAAGGCAAAATTAATATTGAGGCAAACATACCATTTTTTTGGTATATCTACTGATACATTACCCAGCCCATTTGGTTCTTGTAGCTTCTTCCCAGTTGGGCCTGATTTGAAAACAAAAACAAAGAGAAAAACCCTCAGAACTTACGAGTTTGATAATAGGAAAAATAAACTTTTAGGTGTGCTTTAAATAAAATCAGCTGTCTACAACTTCCTTTAAGTTTTGCATTAAAGTAGTTGAAACTGAATATCTGGAGGATTGGGTGAAACAGAGGTTAAAACATGACCACTACCGACTTTCATAGCTGAAATTAGTCACACACTGGGAACTCATAAATGGTTTTGAATTCTCTGATGTTGTTAGCTGTTAAATGTCAGGGGCTTTTACTTCTCTGTGTTAACACTGGGAATTTAAATTGCTTTTGTTCCAACTGTCCCATCGCTCCTACCCTCGCCATCCCTCTCCCCTCCTCCTTCCCAGCTTTCTTGAAGTGTAAAGTGTTACATGGTCATCAAGAAAAGCAGCTGGGGGGGGGGAATGTCCACCAATCTGTTAGAGCCTGACCTTTGTGATGATGGGGAACTGTCTCATAGGAGAGAAGCTGCAGGAGTCATTGTCCTGCTGGCTACTGCCCAGTAGCTACAGTTGCCGCTTCTGCCTTGGCATTATGTTGTGTAGGTATTTGAAACGTCTGTAGTTTATAGCCTTTCCTCTGATAGTTCTGCTTGCAGGGATTACCTTGTGCATCTTGTGAGAATGTAATTTATTTCAGTGCTCAAGAAATGCTTTACCCAAAAGTGGGTTTCTGTTCACAGAATGCCAGCCTTTCACGTGCTGTATTGCTGCCTGACTTTCTAAATGCCACCGCTGGAGAAAAATAAATGAAAATGCTCATCACCTCTTTTTTGAGCTCTGCACAAGTTTTGGAAAATGTTCTTTTTAGCACACGAATTGGCAGCAGGCAGGGTTTAGAGCTGTCTAACTCTAGGTAGATATAATTTATCTGAAATTACCAAAATAATTACTTTTTTGGCATGTTACTCTGACACAGGTAGTTGTTCCTCGGAATGACCTGGTGATCCTCAGTCTATGAATGCTAATGCCGAATATACTTTCACCACTAGGTGGAGACTGGTAACTAATATTGCCTGGCAGTTTAGAGAGGTTCTGCCTGTGAAAGGTTCTTCAGATTCTTTATTCGTATTCCTAGGGAATGCAGGAACATATGTGGCCGGTTTTAGGATTGAAGGAGGGACTTTTAGCTTGTTTCACCACTGGAAAGATAGAAAGGGCAGTTTTATGGGTCTTACTTTTTGCTGCTATGAGTCTGTACTTACATATATTGTGGGGGAAAAACCTTCATACTTGCTCTGTATAGCCACAGATAGTAATCACAGTGAGCAACAATTTGCTTGTATAAATAGCAGCCTTGCTTCTCATGCCTGTGCCTTTTTAGCATGTGATCCATATTGAGTCTTGTAGCCTACACAGCACCTGGACAGAGGGGTGACCTTTAGGGCCCTTATCCTGCAGAACTTTAAGCCCTGTCTATAAGTTTAAGACTTGAGTCTTAAAGTCTATGAGTTTAAGACTTACTTTGCTCGTGAAAACTTACTGTTGAACATAATACCACTATTCTGATGCTTAAGGGTCACATGACTTGCTATATTTCTTTCCTTCCTTCTCCTTCTGAAGCTGGTGCTTTCAAGTGTTTAGTAATGTTATATAGGTCTGGGTCTGTGAGGTGCTCAGTGCTGCCTTCTGCAAGGGGGGCAGTTACGGGTTTCCAACCATCGCAGGGAAGAAAAGGGTGTCAGTGAGGATGTAAGAACTTGATGTATCCCAAGATCTTATTTCAACTCTGTTGGACCTTCTAAAAGCCAGTATGATCTTTAGATTGCTCAAGTGATTTTTTTATTTTTTTTTTAACTTAAATGGAATATGTGTAAGCTTAGATACTATACTAGGGTGATACATTTGTGGCTTTTTTCTGAACTGTCACCATCCTGCACCTTTAAAGTAGCACATGAATATTGTCCCAACAGCTGTGAAACTGTGCTTTATAAGCCGCAGAGTCCAGTGGTCATGTTGTCTCTGTCAGTGGATTGTATGTAGCTAGGGAAATGCCTTTTTCTATGCTCAGTTTTTGCTCTGCTGATCTAATCTTTTGAGGTTGAGCAGGCTATCATTTTTAGCCTGTTTATGAAGCGGAACCTTTAAAAATATCTGTGAACAGGAATAAGCTCCTTCCTAGTCTGGGTCATCCAACCCAGACAGGATAGAAACAGTCTCAGGCCATTCATGGGTTTGGGTTCCAGTAAACAGCACTGACCACTGGTGGAGGGGATCAGATGTCTCCTACGGGCACATGCAGCCCTTCACCACGTTGTCACTTCCTGGCTGCCCTCTAATACAGCATGGCCCTGCCCTGTGAATGTCCAGGCTACTATTGTTCCATAGTTACGCTCCCTTTTTTGGCTGCTGCGTGGGTTTTCTAATTAGCATGTACTTCCAAAGAGGGACCAGGGTTCTCCTTGACTGCAGTGTAAAAGGAGGGAGGAAGAATGGATACAGGTCCCTGTGTGATCCTGCGTGATTTCTTGCCAATTTGGGACTCTAAGGGACAGGCTTTTCATTTCCTTGTGTTACTGAGAGTTTAGTTTTAAATTGACTGACCGTATAAGCAAGGCCTTATCAATACAAATTGACTAATCTCAAAGTTTTAAACTACCTCAGATACTTTGTGAGAGAGATGCTTGTTAAGGAGAATAAAATTATTCTTATCTGTCAAGATTCTTGACATGGAACAAAGATTAAGGGGAGGCAGGCAGAGGAGTTTGTAGTGGCTTGTTTATGTTGAAAATTGACTGAACAGTGGGGGAGAAAAGTCTGATTTTTGTTTATTTCCCTTTGAAAAAAAATGTAATTGGTAAGTCATCAGTTTTAAACCTTACTAAATACTGTTCAGTATTTGTCATTGTTTGAGTATATAGTGGCTGTTTAGAACAAAACATGTATTGGTCAAGAGAGCTGATTCTCCCCTTTCTTTCATGAGACCCTACCTGGAGTATTGCATCCAGCTCTTGCAGCCCCCAACGCAAGAGAGATGTGGAGCTGCTCAAGGAAGTCCAGAGCAGAGCCATGAAAATGATCAGAGGGCTGGAGCACCTTTTCTATGAAGACAGGCTGAGAAGAACCAGAGTTATTCAGCCTGGATAAGAGAAGGCTCCAGGGAGGCCTTATAGCAGCCTTCCAGTATGTAAAGGGGCCTAGAAGAAATGTGGAGAGGGGCCCTTTGCAAGGGCATGTAGTAACAAGTAAAGTGGAAATGGCTCTAAACTGAAAGAGGGTAGGTTCAGGTTGGATACTGGGAAGAAATTCTTCACTATGAGGGTGGTGAGGCACTGTCACAGGTTGTCCAGAGAAGCTGTGGTTGCCCCATCCCTGGCAGTGTTCAAGGCCAGGTTGGGTGGGGCTTTGAGCAAGCTGATCTAGTCCTGAAGGTGTTCCTGCCCATAGCATGGGGGTTGGGACTAGATGATCTTTAAGGTTCCTTCCAACCCAAACCATTCTATGATTCTGTTGCTCTATCACATAACTGTTTTCATGAGGTGGGTGGTTAAAGTTAACATAGGTTATCCGACTGGTCACTATTGCATTCTGGGTTTGGTTCTGTGTCATTTTGGTGATACAGGAACATCTGTGTATGATTGACATCCTTGTCAACACTGTAGGTACCTTTAGGTAAGATCTTGATTTGGAGTTTGGGGAGTTGTGTGTTTGAAAAATAAAAACTGCTTATTGACATGCTCATTGTTACTGTAATTAGTTTTCCATGCTGCAGTGATTTGTTGCTGGAAATAGGGGAAAGGATGAAACACTGAAGTGATAAGCTGGGAAACTGTAGATACTTTTATTTCATTGTGTATCCCATTAAATTTCTTCTGTAATAGTGGTATGCACCATAAATTACCTAGCAGTGCTTTCTATTTATGACTCAAATTATACACACAGGTTGTTTTTTAGTTTTCTTTTGCATTCAGTCTGATGTCGAAACAAAATTATATGTTTGGTAAAGGGTGGCTGAACCAAATAACTGCTATAGTCCCCTGGATAATAACAAGTTACTAAACAAGTACTACAGCAGTCTGTTCATTGTTGTGCTTCGTGCAGTTGTGCTCAGTTAGTGTTCATCTCTCAACTTCTTACAAACCACTTCTGTTTTCTGACACCCAAAACTAACTATGATATATTAAAAAGCATACCATCTCCCTTTAACAAATAAACAAGTACACGTTTGTTTGTGAAAAGACCAAAATGATAATAAAATGCATGTTCCATGCAAGTTCTTTTGAGAACTTTCAAAAATATAAGAATTTTATTTTTTTTTTTAGAGATGCTATGTAAAGGAGTTTTCCACTTGTGAAAACTTGAGCACAATGCAAAAAATTCATTGTGAGGAACAGTAATAGACTTCTCGCTTCCTCTAGAAATGTTTTAAATACAATGTGGAAAAAAATCCGATCAATAAAAAGAAGCTGGGAAAAAAATACAGTTTAAATACTGAAGTCAGAATGTGTATTATATGCTTTGTTTCTATTTATCATCTGATACCATGTGAAGAAAGTATAGATGGAGCTATTCAGACATACTGATTTCAGATAATGTACAACATGTAGAGTTATTTTTAAGAGCAGATGTAGTAGTTGTTGGCCAGACTCATCTTAGTTCCTTGCTTTGTGAAAATTAACTTTCAGTTGTGTGCACTTCATTATTTTAAGGCCATTTTTCAAGTCTGAGAGCACTGAAAAGCAGTAGAACACAGCTTTCTTAAGAACCGTTCTCTTGGAGTTGAAAGCTTCACAGCGTGTTAGCAGAGCAGTGCACATATATGAAACATAGGTAGTGCAGACATTTTGGAAGTGTTGAATAAATCCTTTGTTCCTTTGGTCCTATAGGACTTGGCTTTCATTTCAAGTTAGAGGTCTTAAAATATTGAAGAAGCTGTGACTGTAAGAGAGCTGTAGTTTTTAATAGGGTCCAGCTCCTTTTTCTTAGTTGAACCATCTGCATTCTTTCACAGTCAGATGCCAGTTACACACTTCATCTAAGGGCAGAAAGGGACAAGAAACCTCACTCAAAGGGGGGGGGGAGGGAGGGAACAATAGCAACAGCAAAAGCCCCGACAAAATTATTTTGTGAATGTGCAAACATTTCCAGAAGTCATTCAGAGCAGAGGGGAGACACTGCTGGTCCATAGATGGAGTCTGTTACTTTAGGCTTTGTGTTCTTGTCTCTCTCTCTTGCAAAGTTCAGGGCTTACAGAGATCAGAAACAGTACTCTGCTCAGTGCTTACGGGTGGAAGGCTTTTGGCTTGTCCTGTCACAAACAGAGTCATCTAGAAACCAAGAAGCTGGCTGTATTAGTAAATGACTGTTTTCCTTTTTTTTTTTTATTTTATTTTTTAACTTTTTTTTTTCTTTAACTAGATCTCTTTCTGTCTTACGCATTTCCTTATATCATTGATACTAATGTTCTTGTAATCTGAGATAAATAGCAAACTTTTGTGCCTTGGGTCTCTTGCTGTCATTTTGTGGGACACCGGCTTGTATACTAGGTTACTAGGAGTCTCTTCACGGTTTTTGTCTTCTGTGGGAAGTGTTGTTTCTCCACTAGAAGTGGCTAAAACATGTGGGAAAGCTGAGGATTTTTAAGTTGAAAGTAACTGGAGAAATGCTAGTTAATGCTTCTGTTTCTACTGACTAGAAATCAGAAAAAGGAGATAAGCTTTGTGCCTGACCAAGGAAAAAGGCATTTATACTATAAACTAGTAAACCCAACCATTAGGGAAGGATGGGGACACCCATCTCCTGAAGATGTCTCATCCTGCCTCACGTATGACCAGATATGTGCATGCTGTGTGGTCAGAGTAAATTCATCATTGTCATAAAACTTGCTGTTGGTGTGTAGTGTGCAGCATGGTTGGGAGTAGTGTTTAGGGCCTGTAGGTTGAGCTGAAAGTTCCTCATGCAAGTGGTGGGGGTAGAAGACCACAGATAATTCATCTGACTGTCAGTGTGCCAAGGGCCGCTAACATCTTGTCACCCTTGATCAGAATCCCAGAATGTCTTGTCTCTGTATTGTGCCACAGGAACAGTATATTCATATTTGGTGGGTCTGTCTTCTGTGTTTTGTACCTGGAAAACAACAGCTGAGTGATTTGTAGACCATGCAGTGGTGACTGTTTTCATCTTTACTCCATTTTAAATTAGTGTCCAAATAACTTGTAAAGTATCAGCTACCTTACTCAGTTATGTGCGCAAGAAACTTGACAAGAAGCTTTTTAATTAAAAACTTGCACACTTGCTTGGGTGGTGTGTTCAGTTTAGTGTTCTGTGGGCTCACCGTTACCACTAAATCTTCAAACCCCTTATGGATAGCCACTTTCTAATTAAAGCTTTCTCTGTGTGGGCATCCCAGGTGTATGTTACAGTAACTGTTATGCTCATAAATACTTGGCTTTGAATAAAGTTGTGCTTGTAATTAGGAGGAGGTTTGGGTTTTGTTTGGTGGGGGGATTAATTCCTCACCATTTGTTATCCTTGAGATTTGTTTGTATTCCAAGAATGATTCATTTTGGTAATAATTTTTCTGGAAGTGTTATGAATTCAATGTGTCTTGTATTTCATAGTTGCACTGTTAGAGAAAAATAAGCACTGATTTTTATTTTTTGAGAAGAAGTAATATTTTTAAATGAGGTAACAGGGGGTCCAAGAAAAAAGTACCCTGGGAATCACTTCTTTTTAGAAGCATGATACACGCAAGACAGTGTAGCCTGCAGCCACAGAACTTCTGTATAATCTGATTGATTTTGTCATATTGCTCTGTGGAAGAATCTGTTTAGAATTAATAGGTTGTAGTGGTTTTTATAGTGGATTTAAATGTTGTAAGAACCAGACAATGTTAAATAATTGAGAAAATCTGGATGTTGTGATACTGTTTACTGATATATTTAAGCAATCATAAAGAAAATGGGTTTTGAGTAGATGTTATAGGTAAACAACACATGGTGGTCTGTTTTAACTGGAAGCCGTAATGTAATGGTTGCTTCTGCTAATGAGAAGATGGATAATATCCCCCCATACTTACTTTCTTGAAAAGATACAAATTGTTGTTTGCTGTAGGCACAATGACGACAAGCTGTTCAGAATTTGCCTTACTGAGAACAGCGTGTATCTGGTTTTGAAGTACGTGGGAGCATTACATTAATGTCAAAATGTATATATTCAACTGCAGTTCTGCTTATTTGTCTGATTGTAACTGGGACTTTTCTCTCTTCTCTTTTTTTTTTTTTTTTTTTTTGTTTTTCCTTCAGGGAAACTGTATCAATCTGACCGATGCCTTGACTCTATATGAAGAACAGCTTAGCAGGCTTTATTGTCCTGTGGAGTTTTCAAAAGAAACTGTGTGCGTTCCCTCTTACATGGAATTGTATCCTTACAAACTGAAAAAGAGTGGAGAGTGTGTATTAATAAATCAAGCAAGCCTAGATCACTTGGAGGTAATGAACTTGAGTGCAAGAAGGCAGTTCTAATTTAAACACTATTACTCTTTTTTTCATAGTAAATGAACTACTGCAGTTTTGAGGATAATTGCAGGAATTGTTTTTTTTTAAAGGTGCCATAAATTCACAGCTGGTGAAATGATTGTCACCTTCAAAGATCAGGCTATGGTTTTGTTAACATTCTTGAGTGTTCCAAGTGTATTGTTTATGTGATGTAGGATAAACTGTAGGATGAGGGTAATGCTGCCTGGGAGTTCTGGCAAGGCTGTCTTCCCCCATCCTTCCCAAAAACCCACCCAAACTCACTTAATACAGATTAGCATGACCCAGATCTTTAAATATGCTTGTATCTATTGAACATGCATATAGCTCAGCTTGCATATTTTTAATGGAAGAAAAAAGTGATTCTTAACAATAATTACTAGTTAGCATTACTAAAAATCTGTGGGTGGAAGGCGAATTATACAAGGAGCTGGAAGTTTCAGCTTGAAGGCATTGGCTCTAGAGGGGTATTTTGATCTGCTATACAGTGGTTCTGCTGGCTGCATTTGCCTTGAGTGTTTACCACTTTTGTGTGATCTTCCAGGAAATGCTTCTGCAGGGTAGTGCCTGCTGTGGCTGTCCCTCTCTCAACAGGAGAGATCTTTCCAGGATCTGCTTGTTCGTAATACATTACGCATGTGAAACTGCTACAGCCTTTCTTCTGTGTGTTCATTTTGCCTTCTCTGTCTCCAATCTTCTTACTGTTTAATGCTGTAGCCTGCTGTTCTGTACTCCGTACTGACTGTAGCAAGCTCCTCCTGTTTCTCATTATTTTCAGCTCTCCGGTGAGACTCAGATTTGATCTTAATTTTTTTAAGATGAAAATGGAAGAGTGAAAGAGAATATGAAGATATTTGCCCTTGTAGCTTTTGGTTTCAGAGAAACTGGTTATTTTTACCTTTACAGCTGCCAGACCTTAATGCAACATGTATGTGATTTGAAGTATGCATCCTCAGAAAGTCTTCTAAATACTTACTGCTTTTTTTTTTTTTCAGAAGTATGCAAAATGTTTCTAACTTAATTAAATAGAAATGTTACTTATTTAAAAAAAAGTGTTCCTAGTAATATAACAAATACAAAATATTTTTAGAAATAGGTTGGTTAAAACTGGCCACTAAAGTGTAACAGCACTTGAAAGTGAAAGTTTTTGCAGAAATGGGGCAAACTTCATAAGTTTGCTTTTTCTGAAAGAATTAACAATGATACAGTGGTATAGGTATCTGAATCTTAAAGAAGAAGTCATCTTGATGACTTCAGAATAGCCCAGAATATGTACTCGAACTTAATTTGGCCTTGGACTTCTGGTAGCCCTTTAGTGCATTTCAGGTACAGGTTTATACTTTTCTTGAAATTTACATATTCTCACTTGGGAATCTTTGTCTGAATGGAAGTTTATACCTAAATGCTGTTTCTTAGACGACTGAAAGATGTGATGGTTTACAGTAGAATTATGACAGGTAATTAAAAATGAGGGGTTTATTTCTCTCTGAAGAATGCGACACATTTGTGGCATTCATTTAAGTGCCCGAAATCTCTTGAGCCATTTGAACGAATCTTTTCACTTACACAAATGTTAATTTCTGTAACCTGACCAGAAGTTACCTGCGTGGGTACCTAGTGGACTAGCCAAAGTACTAAGCTGGCTTATCACTTTATTGTTACTTGTTTTGCCTACTTAAAGAATTGTTGTGTGTACTTGTTAACTTGAAATTCTGGTGTTTACCAGAGTTGCTGAGGGAGTTGCCTGAAATTCAAGTAGCTGTTGACATACTGAAATAATAAGTGGAAAAAAAACTACTTCCTTTTTAACTGTGTACTACAAACTTCGAGGTTTTTTATCTCCTTAACTTCTTATTTTCTCCAGATGGGTGTTCTACACTATTTGGAAGAAACAAATGGACATGTGAACATCAAGATTATTTGAGATTATCCTAAATGTACATGCTGCATGGAGCATATAGGCCTGCCACGTGCTGCATATTGTCATCTTGAACCTTTAAATTATATGCTGTAGATGATCCTGAAACTTAGTCATACTATTGATTGTGAATTCTTTAAATGTTTTTATTATTATTTTAATTTAAAAGCAAATGGAAAATGTATATTTTGATGAGCTAGGGTGTTATTTTTGAAAGTCAACTTAAAGATGAATAAGCAGCAAACCTATATAGCTGCTGAATGCACTGAACCTTTAGAATGTGATCCTTTTTATTTTTTGTAGATCTTCACAAGCTGATTAAAAAAGACATCTTTAGCATTTCACCCCTGAAGGGTCCATGGAGTTTGTTTGTGGATTATTGTTTTTTTCTACCAGATTTTTTTAATGGTGCTTTTTAAGGATGGAGGGGTTTTTTGATTTTTAAAAATGAACATTGCAGTGCTTCCGTACAGAGAAGGGCATAATTAAATAAGGAAAATAATTTCTGAAAGAATATCCCAAACCCTTCATTGCAGAGGAATAAAGCTAGTCTTTAATTTTGTTTATTCACTCTAGTTTAATTTGCTGTAATCTCTTCTGCAGGAAAAGCTTTGACCTTTCACCTCATGGAATTCTTTAGCTGCTGCCGTATTGATAATTTAGATTTTTAATAGGGATTTAACAGTAGGTTATAGAGGCACTTTGAACCCTGTTGGCATGAAAATTAAAGCTGGTTTTCCATCCCACCACACAAAATGCAAGAAATTGAGTGTAATGGGGTTCTTGTGGGCATATGTTCCCCAACCTTATGGGAAGCACTAGGTTTTTGAAGAAAGAAATTTTGCTTTAGAGGGTGAAGAAATGTGGGTACGATTTAGATTCATGTACGTCAGTACTGAATGTTTTGAGGCAAGTATGTGTACTTCAGTAGGGTAAGTCCTGGTTGTATTGCCACAGGTTGACAATGTTGTGTGGGGCTCTTGCTGAATTAGGTCCACTTGCAGTATAAAAATCAGTGGAAGCTGGGTTGCATTATAGTTTTGTTCTGAAAGATAAGGCATAGCGTAAGGTGTCCCTGCCCACGGCACGGGGGGTTGGAACTAGATGATCTTAAGGTCATTTCCAACCCTAACGATTCTATGATTCTGTGATTTTTCTCTTTCTCATGTTGTCTGAAAAGTTATATTTTTGTAAGAATGTCCAATGTATTGACTAAACCTTTGCTTTCAGTGTTTAAAAGATCCCACTTGAAGGGAGATAGGAAGGACTGTAACCCTTCTGTGCATTTCCAAGATAGAATAAAAAGTGCGCTATTTCCCTAAACACTTTAATCCTGGGCCATAATGATTTTTTTTTAACACCTATTATCAACATTTTCTTTGTTTTGTTAGAGGGAGTTACGCTCACACACACCCCCACACCCCCCAAGATACTATTAATGAAAACAAAACAAACTACTACTAAGATCTGTATTCTTAAATCATACATAAAGAAGAATTTTACTGTGTCCAACATATATCAGCTGTTCATGAAATCAAGTATTATATGTAGATTTCCAGATACTGGGAAACTTGAAAACATTTTCTCTTCAACATATAATTGTGCCATCAAGATGCTTTCAGTTTGGAGAGCCAATAGAAGTATTTTTCAGTTTTACTGTTCTATGTTATTGCATTTAATGTTAATTTGTTAATGTACATGGGGCACAGTTCTTCTGTGCCCTACACCTTATGCATCCCTCAGTACTCCCAAAGAGCAGAGCCTCCCTCTAAGCAGGAGGAGAGAAGTTTCTTGCATTTCCCCGAGTGTTTTAGCTCTCTTGTATACCTCCCAGAAAATACTTTGATATTCTTGCCTGTTACTTAGTAGTGACCCTTCATTTATGATACAGGACTGCAGTCTGTATATTGTATAACTGCAAATTAATGCAATCCTGTAAACAGTTACATGTACCCTTAACTTTGCAAACATGAATATTCCCATTGATTCTTACTGTTTACTCATGTAAGTGAAATTAAGCACATGGGCATTCACTGGGATGGAGTTTATGGCATATATGTTCCTGAGTGAACTTGATAGGTGTAGAAATTGGTCACAGGTGGGGGTGGTTGTTGTCTAGCAAAGAAACTTGTGAACTGGAAGGTGACTTAATATGCTTGCTGGCTTGCTGTACCAATGCTAGCACTTTCTTTAGCATCACTGCACAAGGCTGCCAAAACACAGATGCTGGGTGTGCAGGGATGTTCTGTGATCGGTTCCCAGAATGATGAGGGGACCTGAATTATATATTCATAGGTGAAAGGCAGCAGTGCTTGCAAATCTTTCATTTTCAATTGATAAAGAGAGTTGGAGGAATTTTTTTCTGTAAACTTTTCTAATGTAGGATTTTTTCTAAGTGATACATGCAGTATAAAGCAATTCAGTAAACACTGAACTTTGTATTTTTTAAGTTGCTGAATTGATTTTGAGCGAATACATATACACTGTCAGTCCATTTGTTGTTGTAGTGTAGATTTCTAAAGGAAAAAAAAAGACTCTTTGTATTAGAATTTTCAAATGCAAACTGCTACAGTTGATTATCCATGTTTAAGGCCAGTGGGAAATAGCTATGGTTGCTGCACTATGTAAGCAAATAGTTCATGAGATCTGGTTGCCATTAGGGTTTTCTTTAATAATTCTTTGCACCAAATGCTGCTTCCACCTTGAAATGTAATCTGTTTCAAAGCTTGATTGATAGTAGTTTGTGCAAAGAGAAGACTGATGGCATTGTATCTACTGCATCAGTGCAGTGCATGTGTTAAAATAAAGGTACGCTATTATTACTTGTGTGTTTGAATTGTTAAATACATTGGGAAGTCAGTTACAGTGTTACAATGACAATTTCTTGTCACCTTGTCACAAAAAAAAATGGCCCTTTTATTGAGTACCTTTCTCTGTCTCAGATTAATAAATTTAGTTATTTTACATATACTATATGCTCAGATGAGATACTTTGTAGTATGGAACAGCATGCTGATGTTTGCACTGGGGGGAATCACTTGAGGCTTCAATGACATTTATGTAGAAAAAGCTAATTTTCTGGAGAGTACTGTAGGTGCAGATTCTTTGGAGGTCTCTTAACTGTAAGTTTTAGTTCTCCTAAAGTGGCAGGTTAGCTTTGGGTGGCAGTGAGTCATTGATGGCATACAAAAAAAAGACAGGCTTAGGAGAAATAAGTGAGACATTGAGATGTTAAGAACAATGCAAGTTTTGGCACAAGTTTAAGGAAAAGGGAGAAGGACATGGACAGGGTGGACAGGAAGCTGCTCTGGGGTCTGGCTCAGAAAGATGAGTCATGTCAGACAATGGAAGAATGTGACTTCTAAAAGAGACTGTAGAGAGGTTTACATAAATTCCAGCTGACTGGAAAGGGGAAGTGTTTACATCTGTCCTAGGTACAGTGATAGCAAAGGCCTTCATAGTTGGAAAAAGGAATTGGGAAGGCTTAACTTAAGGGGGGAAGAAGTCTTAGATACGAACTTTGAGTGTAGAATACAGAGTAATTTAAGATCGCCTACATGCACAGAAGGGAAGATGGGTATCATTTGCTTTATTTTTACTGTTTTGAGTTTGAGGTGTTGACAGCTTGCTGGAGGGAACACAAGGGGACAAGTGAGAAGAAGAGTACTCAATTTCTTATTTTAAGAATAGGAGACTGCAGATGTTGCCTGAGGATAATGGGAGGAGGAAAATGACAAACCTTGCCCAGGGAGGAAAAATGAGTAGTTGGAATCATTAAAGGGAGATGCTGAACGAGCGAGTGAGAGAAGTACCAAAAGAAAGTGAGTGCAGGAGTGACTAGTAGCAGCATCAAGCAACATAAAAGTGCGTTTTCAAGGAGTTAGAAATGTGGAATGGGAACAGTGGAAGTATGCAAATGAGTTCATACAGTGATCGTATATGTTAGTGAACTTGAGCTTCAGAGGTAGAAATAGAGAAAGGAAGGAAAGAGGAGGGTGAAATGCACTTTGCAACTGGAAGCATGATGAGAAATACTTCTGTACAGTGTCAAGGGAATAAAAGATGCAGGAACAAGTTAAGATAGGAAGGAAATCTGTGAATGAGCCAGGAGGAGGAACCAGAAACAGCGCAGCACAACAAATATGTTGGAGATTGCTTGTGGACATAAAAAAAAGGAGCATCGGTCACACTGCCTAGTTTATCTTGTGAAGGGATTTTTTTTTGATTGTTTTTTGTTCTTTTTTGCTTTGATTGCAAGATGGCTCCTAAGTGTTCTAGGAGGAAAAGAATGCTGGAAATTAAATTACGACCAAAAGGAAACTTCAGATCAAGGAGTGTTTAGGGTGGACCCAGGAAAATAAATGCAAACTTCTTGAAGCTCAAAGGAAGGGGAACTGTGGGATTTAGCTGTCAGGGGTTGTCACTGTGAGCATGGAACTATGAAAGGCAGATACTGGTAGCATCTCTGCTGTCTTCAGCTTGTGGAATTGGGAAGACTGGTGAGAATTGGCAAATGTATGAAAACCACTGCTACAGCCATTACAGGCTATTTTTGTGTGACTTCAAAGTGCACAGGTAATTGTTGTAAGTTACCCGAGAGGATAAATTCTATGACCTTGATGATGAATGCACAACACAGTGTGCTGTATTGCATGTGCAGCCTTATTAGTGCGATTTACATTGAAAGACCCAAAGGCAAAAGTATTTTGTTGATGCATAATGGAAACATCTTGGTGAGTGGTCTTTTAATATACAAAGACAAGCAGCAGTGGAATTTTAAAATGAGAGTTTTAGTAGGTGAGAATAACAAAGGTCAGTACATGTGAAGCTTGTTTGTTGTTGTTCTGGTAGCTGCTAATGCTTCCCTATTTAACTTGTCTTTAGTTATTGAAACAGATGCTTTAGCTTCTTTAATGAAATATTTTATTCCTTGTTTTGTCCAAATCTGCTCTTAAGCTTCACAGTGGTACGTTGTGGGAAATGCTTCCTAATGACTACCATCCCATGTAATACTCAAGTGTTTTGATGTTTTATGACCACTGGTTAGTTATTTGGGGTGGAAGGATGACTGAAGTTTTTTTTTAAGGCAGGAAGATTTTAACAATTCTTTTTTTAAACCCTTATGGGGTTCTTGTTAAACCCCTGTATTCTGTAATGGAACATGCACTGATGTCTGTTTTTAAGAAGGGTAGGATCCTTTTTGAAAGTTTTACCTGTGTCACATAGTAAAATGTTTCTCTACAGTTTTAACATTCTTACTGTATAGATAACAGGTAAATACTGGGAAAAGAGGAGATACCTGCTCACGATTTCAGGAGTTGGTTTTCAGATAGCCATGTGTGTTAAGAAGTT